CAGGGACAAGGCATAGTTGAAAGAGCTCATCAAACTATTAAAATGTACTTATTAAAGCAAAAAGAAGGAATTGGGAAGGGGTATATATTCCCCAAAGATAAACTTAAAATAACCCTTTTTACTCTAAACTTTTTAAATTTGGATTCATCAGGACTTAGTGCTGCGGAAAGGCATATGTGTCCAAAAAATGTACATAAGCCCAAGGTACTTTGGAAGGATATTCTAACAGCACAATGGAAAGGTCCTGACCCAGTAATTGTCTGGAGTCGGGGGTCTGTTTGTGTGTTTCCACAGGGAGAACAGCAGCCGATTTGGATTCCAGAGAGATTAACCAAGGTCCTGACCCAGTGAGTGTCTGGAGTTGGGGGTCTGTTTATGTGTTTCCACAGGGAGAACAGCAGCCGATTTGGATTCCAGAAAGATTAACTAAAGCGATTTCTACAGACCAAAAAGAAGATGATTTGGCTCAAATCCATAACAACTGATATCCAAAACTCCAGTTTGGCTATTCTTACATCTGCAACAGAACCAGGATGCTTTTTTCAATATCTATTTTATTATTGCCCTTTGCCATATCATGAAGTTCTATTTTGTTTTTTGAGCTCATACAGACCTAGGTTAATGTTTTGCTGATCAGTTCTATTTTTTGACTATAGAGTTTTTAAACATTGCAATGGAGATTTCACCTGTAAAAAGTTATAAGGCCTTTACTATAATGTTATGTGTTGTATGTATTATATTATGTGTGCACACTTGTGTTTTGTGTTATATGTTTGAATGTATGTATGTCCATATATCATATATGATGAGCGCTCATGATAAAATGGATCCAAATATTTTTTTTCACGTGATTTATATGGTTTAATTTAAATTGGGTAAACAACTGTTGAGGATTGTTTTAATATGTAAACAAAAAAGAAGGTTAACAGATCTGTTTGTTTACTTTCACCTTTCCTTTTCATTATATTTAATAATTCTCTTAAAGATAATGTAAATTGTTAAGAAAATTGTTTTCTTTTAGTGCCTTCTGTAATGTTACATAATTTTTTCTTTAGCCATTATTGCCAGAATTCCTATCTTCATCCCAGTGCCGGTGAAGACAATGTAAATTGTTAAGAAAATTGTTTTTTCCAAAAGGAGCCGTCAATTGGCTTGGTGTATCTTCCTCCCTTCTACTTGTCATGATCGTCCAGCTAAAATTTGGGGGCCAACAGAGGTGAGGCAAAGAACCTCACCCCCCCGCTGGTACAAAGACCTCTCCACAGGTGTGGCTGTATACTGGACCGGTAGTCAGTGACGGGTAAGATCCAATTGCAATGGTACCAACCTAAGGACCATATGTACTATTGGACAACCTAAGGCAGGCACGGTCCCTAAGCCACATGCTTGTTGTTTAAACAGAGAGGGGGAGATGTTGAGAGCCACAGCCGAAGGGGCCCCAGCAAACTTCCAGCTGCCAGCAAACTTCCAGCTGCCGGCTGATGATTGGCTCACAGTGGCCCCAGCAACATCTAGCTGATTGGCTCCTCTGCGGTGATGCTCATTGGGCTGTTTCCCTGCCCTTTCAGACCACGGAGCTGCTCATTGGGGGACTTTTTTGGCTCCGCCCACGTGACCCAGCCAATCGGCCTCAAGAGCAGGAGGATTGTGGGAGGTGGAGAGAAGCTTGTGTGGGAGAGAGAGGCTTGTGGGAAGCCGGTGGTGGCAGTTGAGGCTCTGAGGGTTTTTCCTGAGAGGCTGTTTTGTTTGGCGTGTGTGGTTCTAAAAATAAAGTTAGTTTCTTTTGACAAGTGGCTCCTGATTGTGCCCAGCCAGACTGCGGCAAACATCACAGCCATTCTCAAAAACAAAATGAACATATGTCCAGAACTGGAACAGAAATGCAAGACAGTAAGTGGGCTGAAAGCAACAAGTCTACTGGGTGGCAGGTCAGAAGCAGCCTAAGCTGGCCAGGAATGCAGCTTTTGAAGGATAACGGGCAAGGCTGGTACTGATGATGGTACTAGAACAACCAGAACACCAGACAGTGAGAAGGGATGCTGCCACCAAGTCGAACAAACTCTGGCTATGAACACACAGACCAGGGACTGAAGCAGGGGCTCTCAGGTTCAAAATTTCTGCCTGGGCACATGGCTTCTGTGATGCTATGGGCTCAGGAAGGCAAGCCTCTATACTGGAGTCCCAGGCGAGCATTCCATGGGCTCAGGAACTGTATCTGTAATGGCCCCAGTATCACTGTGGGACAAAAGCACCCACAGATGCCCTGAAGTCAACACTGTTGACCTACAATCAATAGTAATGTAGGGCTAAAGTGCTTACATGGCATGCACAAGGCCCTGAGTTCCATTCCAGCACACAAATAATAATAGAAATAATAATGTATTGTACACGTAAAAACTTGTTAGGAGGTTAGATCTCGGGTTAAATGTTGTTATCACAATCCAAAAAAAAAAAAAAAAAGACCTTGGAGACTTTCATGGACAAAAGAGACATCCTCAAAACTGCCAGGAGTGAGGGGGTGAGGGAATCAGAAAGAGAAAGTAGAAAGACAGGAAGGTCCTGTCAACTATAATTCAGAAGAAAGAAAGAAAAATAATGTTAAAAAAAAAAAAACACTACCTTTATATGAAGTTACTATAGAAAGAAAATCAAAAGAACAAACTTTCATTTCTTAATAAAATTATCTTAGAAGCCTCTAAGAGATAAAGAAAAATAGCCAGGAAAATTAATAAGAAATTATGAGACAAAAAGAAATAAAACAGGAAAAGATTGACATAGAAAAGAAAATACTATTAAACAATTTTTCAGGAAAGTTCTCTGTGTGTTATATCTCATGAGCCTCTGGAAATCTTTCTTTCTTCCATATTTATACCTGAAAAACATCTGGACTGAGTAAAAACTATTCTGAAGACACACCTTTTATGCCCCAAATCCACAGCCACCATTCCATTTTCTTTGCCATTTATCTTTTCAGGGAAGGAGGCTGAGGCTGACCTGAATGTTGTTCTTTTATAGACAGGGGAAAAGGGGTGCAGATGGATTGTCCAACTGTGCTGAGATTCTTTATCTTTGCAATTCAAAAACTTCATCCTGGTGTGTCGAGGTGTGACATTCTTTTCACAAGTTTTGCTAGTATGTATTGAATCTTTTTTATTTTTACACTCATCTGGTTATTGCTTCTGTTAAATAAGCAGAGGCCTTTGGTCTGAGGCTGTCTCTGTACTTGGAGTTCCTATATAAGGAACTGCAACCAAATCAAAATGTAACCAAGAATATGACACCCAATCACAAGCAGCCAGGTTTCAACCCAGCGCAGGCAGCCAACTCATCACACCCTGCCCAAAGAAGGGACCCCTCCTAGCTGTAGCCAATCATGAGGTTTCTCTACTTGACTTCAGTATTTGGTCTAGAAAAAAACGCTCCCTGCTCACACTGCTGGGCCAAGGTCTGTGAACTCGTCTGGTTGTCAGTGCTGCCTGATTCATGAGTCATTCTTTGCTCAAATAAAACTCTGTTAAATTAAATTTGTCTAAATTTACTCTGATGACACCTCTGTCAGCCAGTGTTCAACTGAAGAAAAGAAGACCCACAAGTTGAAGCAGAGAGATACGTTTTACAAGGCATTAAATCACCAGAACTGGAAAAACTACACCTGTCCAATGCAGGAGCCACATGAGACTCTGAGTACTTCAAATGTTCCTAGTCTCACGTGAAATATTCTTTATTTCATATTAAATATTCTTTAATATTTCATACTTTAAATAAGTATGAAATAAATATTCTTTATTTCATACTAATGCCAAGGACATCAGGACTGCTTTTCTTTTGCACCACCTAGATGCTAGTATTAATAAGTTTTAGTTTCCCAATGAATGGGACAAAAACAGAAAAAGAATGTGATATTGCTCAATAATACTTTGTATTGATGGCATGTGGAAACAATAAAGTATTTGATATATAGGGTTAAATAAAATATATTATCAAAACTGATGTGACGTATTTTTTGTACTTCTTTAACTGAAGCTACTAGAGATTTTTAATTACATATATGTCATATTAAATTTCTGTAGGACAGCAAGCACTGTTCTAGACTGAGCTGCCATAAGCTATTCCCCAATGTATGTGCAAGCACTGGATTGCTACCAACCACTGCTCCTGCCACTGCAGAGTCAAGAGGCTGCCTACTGAGACAGGAGCTGCTGCCACATCAGATAGCACACACACACACACACACACACATACCCCAAATCAGGAAGCCAACTCAGAGTTAGAAAGTTACCTCTAGCAAAACGGTCTTCCCATGACCTCCCTCTCTCCCAGGTGAGTCTATGCTAAATCTAGTCTCACTTGAGTGCATCATCTTGGCAGAGCCTAAATCACATACATAGCTGCAAGCCATTCTGGGAAGGGCAAGTTCTGACTTTCCAGTTTAGAGGAGGGAAAGCATATTGCGCAAACCAATCTATAGTAACCAGTGCAGTTTCTGTTACAGTAGTTCTTGTTTCTTTTTTACAACACAAATTCTTCCATTGACTCACTTCTTTTTTTTTTTTTTTTTTTTTTTTTTTGGTGCTGGGGATTGAACCCCGGGCCTTGTGCATGGGAGGCAAGCACTCTACCAACTGGACTATATGCTTAGCCCTCTATTGACTCACTGTATGTGGGGGATTTTTCCCTTTATTTTTGTCTACACTCAAGAAAATCCCATAAGTTTTCTTTTGATGTTATAGCTTTCATTTTCTATAGTATCAGTTTGACTCCTTAATACTTCCAATTAAGATATTAATTCTATTAATAAGTTTTAGTTTCCCAATGAATGGGACAAAAGTAGAAGTTACAAAAATATACAGCTAGGGGCACTCTCTAATCTAGGGATAGTAGTCCTTTTTCTTTACTCAGCCATCAATTTTCCCCTAGACTTCATGGTTTTGCTTTGTTTGTTTGTTTGTTTTTAATTTTATGATTTGCTTATCTTTGAAAGAAGAGAGATTGATCCTTACCAGCATTTGCCAAATACATATTGTTCCACTCTGTTTCCATTGTCAGTGCCCTCCAGTCAAAAAACACCTATAACACATTGAACATGTTGGATTTATTATGGGGTGCTGCAAGAAGAACCACCACAGGTGTCTCAGCATGAGGACTTTAGGAAGGTCTTACACAGGAGATGGACTTGGGTTGAGTGATTTGGGGCATGTCCAAGTAAGCAAGCATTCTCTCTGGATTTGACACTGATAGAAAGCAGGAGAAATCATATAACTGGATATCTTAATAAGTCTTACTTATAAGGAAGACAGGCCGGAGCAAGGCTCAATTATGAAAGGTAAGGAAGCAGCCTCCACTTGTTCTGCCTGGAAGAGGAAGACTTTTGGCATTTTGTGGCTCAGACAATGTTCATCTGAGGTCTTTGTTCAGGCATGACAATGCAGGCTCTTTTTTTTTTTTTTTTTTTTTTGAAGCATGGTCACAGAGTGACCTCAACTGATGTTGATGTTCATGAAATTGTTTATGACCACCAAGAACACATCAAGGCCCAGCTGTGTCCAGACAGCTCATACTAATGCCAAGGACATCAGGACTGCTTTTCGTTCACACCACCTAGATGCTAGTATAATTCCAACTGAAATCCACCTCTGGAAGGAAAGCGGTTGTCAACTTTTCCTTAACCCAATTTTTCAAGATCTAGCTGGTATTCGTCTAGTGTCACTCTGTCTTAGCTGCTGGTTTGCTGACTCTCTGAATAGATGCACTGTGTTCTAGCTTAAACTTGTATTAAAGGAGCATGGAGAGGGTCTTCTGATGAGGTCAACTTCCTGCTTGACAAAAGTGCTCATGGACACAAGCAAGGGATCCAGACAGACACTTCTATACTGGTGCTCCTAAGCAAGGGACCCAATAGAAAAACTAAAAGAGATGGGTGGACAGAGGGGACATCAATCAATAATAATGAGGAGCATGTGGACAGGGGAGGAGAGAAGGAAAGGAGGAAATTCTAGAGACCATAAAAAGAACAGGCCAAAATTCCCCACAGGATTCCCAGCTCTGGGTCCCCTTCTCTTCAGAGAAGTCTATCTCTCACTTTTGCAATAAATCTACTTCTTGCTTGCTATCTCTGTGTCTTGTTGTTCAATTCTTTGCTGAAAGGATACAATGAACCCAGCACCCCTGAACAGTAACTCTAGGGCTTACCACCAAGACAAAATGCACTATCTCAAAACCCCTCCTTCTTCCTTCCATTTATCTCTGGAAACACATAACAGCCAGAAGAGTATTCCAACACTTCAATAAGCAATAGCCACATGGTAAAAGTAAGTTAAGACATTGCTTGCATTTTGAGCCAGGGTACAAACAATACATCAGTTTTTAAAGGTGTTCTGAGCCAGACACAGCAGTGTACTCCCAGCTACTAGAGAGGCCAATGTAGGAGGAAGGCAAGTTCAGGTCAACCTGGGCAACTTAGTGAGACCCTCTCAAATTTAAAAAAATTAACAGGGCTGGGCTGGGGATATAGCTCAGTTGTAGAGTGCTTGCCTCATATGCACAAGGTCCTGTGTTCAATCTCCAGCATCCACAAAAAAAAAAAAAAAAAAAAATTAACAGGGCTGAAGATGTAGCTCAGTAGTAGAGCACCACTGGGTTCAATCTCTAGTACAACCAACAAAAAAAAAAGAGAGAGAGAGAGAGAAATCCACCTTGTATTCTGAGAATATTTAAACAAAAATACTTGCTTTTTCTTTTTCTTTCTTTTTCAATAAATGGATATTCTAGATCCTACCAATACATTGATAATTTGTTCTAATTTTTTGAAATTATATATTCTTTTCTTTTTTTTTTTTTTAAGACATACACTAGGAACTTTTAGACAGGTATCATTTTCCACTGGAATCTTGCCAATCTAGTCTTGTATCAAAAACATACATGCCCTATCTACTTTCCTACCTCAGAAGTTTGTCCAAAAATGATGTCAAACTTCTCTTAGCAGCTCTCACAGGAGCCTAGATGACCCACAAAAGTTCACTGAAAGTGACTATTTAATTAACATGTCTAAACTGGGACCTGCCTATCTTTATAAAAATGAATCAAATATTAATGTGATCTTGACCTGCAAAGGTAGGATATCCATATGGAGAATAACTGATTTTTCTAGTACCACATAGATAGATATACGGACCCATATCTATATAACTACATACATACAACTACATCTAGCTTGGAATATAATGACCATAAGACAGAGAGACGACAGGTGATAGATACATAGATACATAGATATATAGAACGATAGCTAGTTTGGAATACATGATTAGAGCTAGTTCAAGATACATGACCCAAAGTAATTTGGAGCTAGTTTGAATTAAAGCTCATAGTTTTAGGTAGGATAACCATGTTATCTGAGGAATAGGATGGAACTGAAGATGATCATCCTAAGGAAAAAAGGATCTAGTGGCAGGAGGTTGGGGGGATCCAGGGGAAGTAGAAACATAATATTCTTCAAACATTTGAAGACTATTATGTGAAAGGGAAATTGCTTTGTTATAAATGGCAAGGCTGAGGTGAGAACCAAACTCAAGGGCTAGGGTTGTGGCTCAGTGGTAGAGTGCTCACCCAGCATGCAGGGGGCACTGGGTTCCATCCTCAGTACCACATAAAAATAAAATAAAGATAATGTGTCCACCTAAAAACTAAAAAATAAATATTTTTTAAAAATAAAAGAACCAAAATCAATAGGTAAAAGCTTTAAGGAAGCCAATTCTGGCTGTAAGCTTTTTGATAAAACTGGGCCACCTTTAGAACAGACCATCATTGGAGGTATCTTCAGGCAAAAAAAAAATAGACTAACAAGGATTTTTAAACTATATTTTTAGTTGTAGATGAACACAATACTTTTATTTATTTATGTTTATGTGTTCTACCACTGAGTTACAGCTCCAGCCCCTGACAGGGATTTTTATAGAGAGTATTCAAGAACCCATAGGGCATTTCATCTAAAGAGTTTTAATGTCCTTTCCAATGTAATGACACAAAGAAAAACTAATAAGAAGTTTTGGGAGACATGGTAACTAAAAGAAATGTGGGATTATGGATTGGTTTCTGGCCAGAAAAAAAAAAAAAAGAACATTCATGGTAAAACTCAAAACTTGAATGAGATCTGTAAATTAGTTAATAATATTGTATCAGTGTAAATTTCCTGATTTCAGTAATTCTACTATGGTTACATAAGATGTTAATATTAGAGGAAAGTGGAGGAAGGGTATACAGAAACTCCATACTATTTTTGCAACTTTTCTGTAGCTAAAATTATGTTAAAATAAAAACTTTTTAAAAATTGAATAATGATATAAAAACTTTCCGCTAAAACAACAAAGAGTCCATAATATTAAAGTTCTAGAGACCAGTCTGTTGTCAACCCATCCCTCCACCAGGCCTCCCTGGAATGTAGATACAATTATCTTTTTAGTTTATCAGATGAGATAAGCTCAGTAGTATAAAAACTGGAAATAGCTTATGTTTCTCTAATTACTCTTTCCAAACATGCTCTGTCACAGTACCTCTTCCCACCTCTGGGTGATATCTCAGGCATATTTCATAGGTTTTGAAATTGCTTTCAAGAATTAAGACTTATTAAAAAGTCCTGGGACTGGGGATAGAGTGCTTGCCTTGCACGCACAAGGCTCTGGGTTCAATCCCCAGCGCCACAAAAAAAAAAAAAAAAGTCCTACTGAAACTTCAATCTCATACTCAGTTCAGAATCCCCACTGACACCACACCCAGCACCCCAGCTCCACCAGTGGTACCTACAGTGTGGAAAGAAGGTGGTGTCTGTTCTCTGCCTCCTTCACTTTCTTTCCCCTCATCCTCTGCTCCTGTCCTTTCTGTTGCCAGGAATAGGACAGAGGGATTAGAGGAGAAAGGTGGAATGTACTTTTTATGGCAGATGCAGCTGCAATACAGTAAGCAGACCATGGCCTTGGTGTAGAAGGAGCCCATAGATAGCTCTCTCCAATGGGATGCATTTGTGGGTCCACCAGCTGAAAAGTTTCCTTCAAAGCTAATGCACTTTCCCACTTCCTCCCAGAAGTCTCTTGCAAACTTCTCAGCTCCTTCTCTGAAGTATAGTATAGAACAGTTTTTGCTGTTCCTCAACCCACCGTCAGTGCTCCTGGTTCAAGGCTGTCTATCTTCCGTTGTCACTCCTGGGAAACACACATCCTCACCATTGCAAATTCTAGCAGTCCAGATGGCTCCGGCTACAGTTCTCTCCACTCATTTACAGTTCTAACCAACCTCTAGTATCCTAGACTCCCCAAGGAGTAAGTGAGACCCACCTTCCACTCATTTTTGGCCCTGAACTCTGTAAGACATACGTCCACTTCATGAACTTTTCCACTCTGCTCTACTCCAATCCCAGGACGACACTGGAGCCCCTACTTCCCTTGAGGGCTTCCCCACAGGAAGAGAAAAAGGAAACAGCACAACACTGTCCACTACCCTAAAGACTCCCTCCGATCCCCTTTCTCCTGCATCAGATAAAATTAATAATCACTATACCAGTTTCCACAGTTTCTGCATAGATATATGCATTGCTGGTTCCCCACTCCAAAACCTGGGGATACTTATCACCTTTCTTCTCAGCTTTGGGACTCCAGATGAAATTTCAAGGCACCATAAAAAGTCCCATTGGATATCCTGTTACACTTAAAACACACCACGATGCCTTCCATATGAGCCTGCAGTCCCCAGCAGGGCTATCTGCAAACCTCACTCGATGGGAAACAGAGAAGCTGTGACTATTGGCAGAGTCCTGAGCCTGGGTTGCTGAGATAAGGCTCCTGGAAAGATTCAACCCAGAGAATTTTGCAATGATTACACAATCTCTTCCGGCCCACCCTCATGCTGAATGCATTCCAGAAAACTGAACATTCCTTAGAGAGGCTATTACATAATGAAAAGAGAAGGGTTATAATTGTTATGTAGGAATATGCTTTGGGGGTTTGAAAATATATCAAGTGAGAAGGAAAGACTTAATTAGGACAGGATAGCTTTATACAGTTAAAGTTATACTGTAGAGAGGGTGTCTAAGTTACTCTGAATTGTCCCAAAGACTACTTTATGAAAGCCAGTTTAGGGGCACAGTAATATTCATTCACTCATCCTCTAGTTTCTGACAAACTTCAGGCTCTGTGTTGGGGCTGGTATGGCCAGTAGGAGCTCAAGAAATTTTCTGTAATGGGCTAAGCTACCAATAGAGTGGATGTAGTAACAGTGGATCTCACGTACGCACACCCTGGGTGGTCCACGAGAAGGAATGGCTGAAGATTAGGAAGTGAGATAAGAGAAGCAATGAAACAGCTGATCTTTAGGATCCCTTCAACCCCCTCCAAATCTGAAGTCCTGTGTTCTGGAAGATTCAGGCCTAAGGCCTGGTGTCCTGCTGGCAATGTACATAAAGCAGAGTGAGAGAATGAAGGAACTGGCTTGGTCACAGAAATTAATATCAAACAGGCAGTCAAACCACAGAGTCCAATGTGAGAGTTGGGTCCAATGCAGAGGACAGTCACCAGATTTTCACACATGGAACTCATACAGGCAGATGGAATTCAGGCAGCTAGCAGTGACGGAAACACATGGAAACAGTCTTCGTGGGACTGCCACGAAATGTAGAACAAGGGGAAAAGATTTGTGAATGTACCCAGCTAAGTTAAATGGGACTTTTCTTGCCCCTACATTGTGACTGGGGCAGTAAAATCGCTTAAAAAAGTTGTGCTATACACCAAAAAAAAAAAAAAAAAAAAAAAACACCTCTGGCCTATAATACAAGAAACAGTGAGAACAACAAAGTGGTGTAGATTACCATTGCCTTCTCAAACCAGGTGGGAGGCACTGCCAGAGAAGCGTTGACAGGACATGGAGGCAGAGTCCCTGCCAAGTGAAGGACACCATCTGTTCTATACTATAATTCAAGGAAGGAGCTGAGAAGTTTGCAAGAGACTTCTGGGAGGAAGTGGGGAGTGTATGAGATTCTGCTGCTGCCATACCAAATTACCACAAATTTAGTGGCATAGAACAATACAAATGCATTATCTTGCAGTCCACAGGGACTAAGTCTAGTACAGACCTCCCTAAGCTAAAATCAAGATGTCATCGTCATTCTGGAAGCTCTAGGATATAATCTGTTTCCTGCCCATTCAGTTGCAAGTCATTGTGGGAATGAGGTCTCTGTCTTCTTGTTGCCTATATCGGGGGCAATTCCCAAGCTCTCGAGGTCATTCCTTGGCCCATGACCCTCTTCCTCCATCTTCAAGTCAGCAATATTGAGAAATCTCTGAATGTCACATGCCTCTGACCCTTAGGATAGATTATCCACTTTTAAGTACTCCTGTGGTTAGACAATTAGACTGGGCTCACATGAAAACCCAGGATAATCTCCCCTATCAAGGTTCGTAACCTCAATCACATCTGCAAAATAACATTTTGCCAGGTGAGATAATGCCATAGATTGTCCCTTTTGAAACTCATGCTAAATTTGGGGGGGGGGTGCTGGGTATTGAACCAACCCAGAGTCTTGTGCATGCGAGGCAAGCCCTATACCAACTGAGTTGTATACCCAGCCCTCATGTTGAAATTTTATTGCTATTGAGGGAGTGTTTGGAGGTGAGGCCTTAAAGAGATGATTAGGTCAGTAAGAGACTTTTTTTTAATGCCTTCCTCAGTAGGCTGAGTTAATTCTTATGGGAGTGAGTGAGTTCTCACTCTCATGAGACTGGATTAGTTAATGAGAGAACAGTTGCTATAAAACAAGGCCACTCCCATGTTTTGTCTCTTCTAAAACCACTCGCTTGTCCTTCTACTTCTCCACCATGCTATGATACAGAATGAGGCCCTCGCCTGGTGAAACCACCCAATCTTGGACTCCCATCATCCAGAGCCAAATAAATAAACCTGTGTCCTTTATCAATTATCCATTCTCAGGTATTGTGTTATAGCAACAGAAAATTGACAAAGACACACTTACAAATTCCACATCTGCCTACCACAGAAAGCTTGATTTGTGTTCCCTGGAGTTTGGGAAGAACAGAGACTATTACCTGATTCTCACCAGAAAAGCCTCGGGGAGAGGGGCTGGCTGGTTCTGTGATGGAGAGCAAAGAGAGAATATGGTACTTCCAGAGTTTACTGGGTCAAAATGCCATGTTACAGGCAGACTCAATGGATGCTGCAGAGGGCAGCCTGGCTGAGCCATCTTGAAAGAACTCCACCAAAGAAGCTGCCCACCAGGGTCCAGACTATCACAGTCGTCGAAAGAGGCTGTGCAATGTGAACTCTGGAGTAGGGATGAGGGCATGTCATAAGAGGGCAGCAAGAGAATGTCTCACCCTTGCCAGGAAATTGTGCAATGTCAGAGGTCTCCAACAGGAAGTCTCCAGAAAACTCACAAAAGCCCCCATCTCATTTTCTCCAATGTCAGAATTGAGCTGGGATTTGAAAAATGAGTCTGGTCTTAGTGAGAAAAGGAGAGAAAGGATCCCAGGAAGAAAGTGTTAAGCTTGAAAGAAAAGCAAAGGCATAATAAGTGGGATGAATAGGGCTGTTGCAGGAAAGAGACCAGAGCTATATGACTGGCCCAAAATATATCTGGGAAGCAAAAAGAAAGTTGACTATGTAAGATAAGTAATTAAAACTGGGGAAAAGAAGTTTGGCCTTACTGCAATGTATAATATATATTACTATTAGAGTTCCTGTAACATGGTACATATCTTAGTCTGTTTTCCATTGCTATAACAGAATACCTGAGGCTGGATACTTATAAGAAAAGAGATTTACTTAGCTTACAGTTTTGGAGATTGAAAGTCTAGGCAGCATGGCATAGGCTCTGGTAACATCATAGTGGGAATATTTTAAAAAGAGAAACAAAACAAGAAAATTACTGTGTGAGTAAGCTAGTCGGCTGCCTCGCTGAGGTTTAAAGGTTAAACAGGGAGCCAGAGAGTGAGTGGGATAAGCATGTATTGCTCTCTTATAACAACTTTCTCACAAGAACTAGCCCATGCAACTATTAATTTCTTCTGAGGGCAGTGAGCCAAAAGATCCAACCTCCTTGTACTAGTAGACCCTACTCTTACAAGTACACCAGCTCTCTACCCCCACATCATTCAAGGGTCAACTGTATTTGAATTGAGGATGTCCCAGAAAATCTGTAGTTATTATAAGTACACCAGGCATGTGGCAATGAGGTAGTAGGATTTCTTAACCCTTCCTTCTTTGATTCATATTGTAAGAGGAGATCTCCTCAATCCTTCGGAAATTGGTCAATTTGTGGGCAAGCAGGAAATTATTAAGCAACAGTTGCATCATTGGGAAATGTCACTCTTTCCTGGGGTTGTGTTTTACTTAGACTTCTATTTGCAACTGATCCATTCCAAACAAAACAAGAAAATTACTGTGTGAGTAAGCTAATGGGCTGCCTCATTGAAGTTTAATTTCTCATCATGCACCATTCTCCTTGCTTTATTCATGCTGCTCAGTTGGACCTCAAGGGTACCAACCATACTGAAGGTGTTAATACTTTCCAGGAAGGGCAGTATAATCTTCTGTGGGAAGATATATATATATATATATATGCCTCTCCCCTTCTGTCTGTCTCCATTACAACAAATTATTGCAATTGTAATACAATTATTCTCCTAATTTTTTCAAACAAATGTTCTGAACTCTTACCTTCCATCAACTCCTAACTGCTCACCTGAAAGTCTGGAAACCTGAGGATACAGGAGAATGGTGGAGAGCCAAAATTAATGAGGCTAAAGAGACACGGAAAGAAAGCAGCCCAGGGGCTCCTGTCCCATAGGTAGCACTTTTTCCTCTGTCTTCTCACTCCTAACTCAGCTAATGTTGCCTCCTCATCCTCTTCTCCTTTCTCATCTTCTTCCAACCTCTGGGCAATTGCCTCATTCTGGAAAATCCCCCTTCTCAATCCCTCTTCATGCCATTTTTGAGAACACCCACCTCCAATTAAAAGACCTTAATCATGACCAGCAAACATATCCATCTCCCTCCTCGCTGTCTCAGAATGTATTTCCTCCAGAATCAACATTCATCTAATTTTCTGTTTTCAGTATTGGGGATTGAACCCACGCCCTTGCACTTGTTAGGCAAGGGCTCTACCACCGAGCTACACTCCCAGCCCCAACATTCATTTGTTTTTAAACTCTTCTTTCAGTTTATTTCTCTACTTTTTAAAGTGTTCTTTTATAAAACTCTTATTTGAAATGTTTCCAAGTTTTTCTTTTAGCTGATCATGGGCTTTGGTGGTCTGGTCTAGGAATCTTGGACACCATTTTATAGCACTGTTTGTATAAAACAAATAAATTTCTGGGGAATAGCTCAATGGTAGAGTGCTTAACTAGCATGTGTGAGGTCCTGGGTTCTATTCCCAACACCACAGGGGGGGAATATGTATTTCAAGTTCAAATAGCTGAGTTACAAACTTCTGGAATATAGCCATTTTTAAAATCAAGGAATGCTTACCAGTTATACATTATGGAATTGCAAGACTCAAGGTAATTGCCTGTCACAAAATAAATTATATGCATAATAATTACTTTCTCTTTTAATGAACCTTCTTTCATCCAAAGAAGGCCCTCAGCTGATATCAAAACAAGAATTTGTGCCAACCAGCTATATTTACTACTGTAAGGAATAATCTTGCCAGGTGTGGTGGCACACACCTGTAATCCCAGCAGCTTGGGGGCTGAGGCAGGGGATTGCAAGTTCAAAACCAGCCTGAGCAATTCAGCAAGGCCCTAA